ATCAGATAGCTAAAGGTTTCATAACGAAGTGAAAAGCCCATTCTTTTTAGGAAGGAGAGAAATGAAAAAAGAAGACGTAATCCCCAGGTTTGTAGATAAATATCTTTCTTCTACATGAGATCTTACTTGACCATTTCCCCTGAAGATTGAGAGAACAAAAAGAGGGCATTCTCGAGCAGGCATATTCAAATTCACTTCATAGCCTTCTTCTTTCGTAGTAGATCGAGCCGTGTAAATAGTTCTAAAGACTTAAGTATATTCCGGTTTGGAAGAAATTACATTCAAAAGGGCTACCTTAGCCAGCCTTTCTTGAAAAAAACCTGATCCGCCGCGTCTTCTTTTCTTTCATTCCATTACTTCAACCCCGTTTCCCCCATTTACTATTGGTCGAGCTCCTTTGACTTCACTTCGATTCGCTTCATTCTTTCCTCTAAGACCGAAATCCCTTTGTTAATCGCTTTGCTTAAGTTGTCTTGAGATCGGGAAATAGAAGTCATCAATTTAATGATGTTATGAGTTTTGTTAATTGCTTAATTCTAGACTTAATTTGATAATTTTATGACATTTAAATCTCGAATTGAGATAAAAAAATCTTTCATGGCCCAACTTGATAATTTACGCATCTTTCAGGTATTGTAGTGAAAAAAAAAATCATTTTTAATATTATAGTTATATTTATATATATTCAGTTATAACTATAATATATTAATATCCTCAAATTATGAAAGTACCCTCAAATTTATGAAAATATAAATCTGGCCAAGGACATACCTGCGAGTTTGGCAAATTACAACCCTCGACAAAATCCTTGTTACAGTCACGTGCATTATCCATCTTTCATTGTTCATTCGTCGTCAGCTACAGCCATGTCCCAAACTGAAACCCCTGCGGACCCGAGCCGTAACCCAAATCCGACCCACCCGCCTTCGAACCGCGACCCTCAACCGGCGCCGGAGGTCGATCCGAATCATACCTCTGCTGCGCCGTCCGAGGCCGCTGTTGCTGCGGACGATCAGCGTCCTTCGGACCCCGCCGTCGCATCTACTGCTGCCGCCACTCTCAAGCGGCCGCGCGACGCGACTCAAGGAGAGGCGGAAGGAACCAGCACAGCTGACGCTCCGGCGGCGAAGAGGCGCGTGAGGGCTTCCGGAGATCTGATATACCGCATTGTGGTGCCCTGTAGGCAGATTGGGAAGGTTATTGGAAGGTCGGGGCATCGCATCCAGAAGATTCGGGAGGATTCTAAGGCTGCAATTAAGATTGCTGATGCTATCTCTGTTAGTGAAATTGTTATTTCCTTAATTGATAGTTCGTTTTGGGAATATTGTTAGTCATATGTAGAGTTAGCTCTTTACTGGCCATGAGTTCGTTAGTGATCATTGGGATTCCGTAAAGTTGTTTGAGAAAGTGTTAATTGAATCTCCATTGCTTATAAATAAAGTCTAGGAGCTTAAAGTAGGATAAATTGGTGTTTAGAAATATTTGTTCCTTTGGTGGAGTGTAGTAGGAGATGAACCTGGCTTTTGAGCAATTTATGGTAGTGTTTAGGTAACTAGTAAAGTGATTGGAAATGAAGCTGGAAAACTCTACGCTCTGTTTCGAATTGAACTTTCTTCTCCATGGTTTACGGAGTAAGCAAAATGATAGTGAAATTTGAACATGTGTGAAAAAATTTAAGTAATCGCTTGACTTGTGGGACCTCATCTTATTTGAAACATATTACTGTGGGTAGAGCATTAGAATTTCTAGATACCGTTTGATGTCATCTGTTGGTTTTGTAGTATCTGAATTAAGGGG